TTTACATTATAGAATATCGTTACAAAATAGATGGATTGTGCTTTTTCAGATTGGAAACATTTAAACGGTTTTTTTATTCGGTTTTTTTTCGGTTTTTTTTCTTTTGCGTTACAATATTTGTATAATTGCGTTCCAACCGTCTTTCCTACATGAAAATCCAATTGTATGAATATTAATTTATCGTTGTCACTCGTTGTCTAGTTTAAATTTTAGTTTCAAAAATAATAAAATTATGTAGGTACCTATACTGTATTAATTTGTGATTTAACAGATTTTAATTCCTTCATAAAACCGTATAAAATTGACATTAGAAACACTATATTGTTGTTTTTTGTGTTCAATAAAAGTTGATTAATTTAAAATTCACTGTTGCAAAGGAACTAAACGTTTCATTTCCAATTACCGTTATACCTAATAACTCAGAAAATTGAATTGAATGAAATGCGAAACTTTAAAGGACATCTTGGCAGCGTTTCCTTCCTCTCATTACTCCAGAACCGGCCGCACAATTTCCATTTTGCATCACCCGCCCTTTCTATTCATTCAGTAAAACTAACAAATTTGTCGATTCACATGCACAGTTATTTTATTATAATTACAAAAAACTCGACGAGCGTAAAGTTTATAAAAATTTTTATCCTGGAAAATTTGTTGAAAATCGAGTTATCGACCCGTTCCAATTGAGTTGAACGTCCATCAATTAGAGTCTCTTCCGTTATCGAATTATCGAACTCTACGATAAAAACATCGCACAATGGCGCAATTGTTCTATTTTTCTATCCGCTTACTGTTAACGTAATTAGTGAGTAATTATCGAACGGGTATTAGGTAGGAAACAATGAGTACGAATTATCAATTACTGGGAACACCTGATGGCCTCTTCTGCTTGCTAATGAGATTGGAAAATAAAAATTGCCGGTCTATTAGTTTTAAAGGTGATCCAATTTTTATTATTGCCTAGTTGTTCATTATTATACCTACTAATAATTTTGTTTTTATTTTTATCCACTTATTAGTACTATTAATAGATAAAGTCAAGGTCAATGTTGAAGAATTACATGTTTCTATTTAATTAAGCTCTCCCGATATACATTGACTACGGTATGAGTTAATTCAATTCCTTATGTATTTATAATAAGTTTCAAATCGACTTGGTAAAAGATTATTCCTGGAACATGAGCGACATTGACAACACGAATTTGTTTAACTAGGCACAAAGTAACAAGATATTAGTTATTTTTGTTTGCTCAATTCAAGCATAAGGCGATGTAGGAAGGAAACGTTTAATTACTTCTAAGAGATCAAGACAAGAGGCCTTTGATTCTTTAAATATTGCAATATTCACAAAGGCTTCGCACGCAGGAAAATAAATAGAAAATTTACTTCTCAGCTCATATCCAACTCGCTCATGTATTGAATGTCTTCCCGAAACTGAAGTTAAATTGATGAGCGGTGCGGCAGAGATAAAAAAAGGAATTTATTCAAATTAGTCTGACAGAAAATCGTTACGATGCCCGAGTGCAGAAACAACGAAAAAGTTATTTTTAACGGCTTTTTTCGCCGAGTTTAAACGGGATTAAAGGAATTTATCGGCTATTCATTACTAACCCGCTGTCATTTACGATGAATGTTTTCAGAAGAATATTAAACATATTTCACTTTTTGTTATGCATCTTTTATATCAGAAATCAAAATTCATGTCCTGCTGTAATTTTGTTATAAAAATTGTTTTATTATTATACATTTATGACTTCATTTTTATAATAATAAAGCAACGAGTCAGATGCTGTTCTACTTCTTATTTCAATCTAATATACAAGGTGACAGTAAAAATTAAACCGATAAGATATAAAGATGAATCAAAAAATATTATTACCGGGATATTGCGTGTCGAGGATGAATTGCATGCCTATTAATAACCTTTTAATCTAATTCGGCAGTTATTTATTACTTTACCGGTAAGTTACGGTTGGAACTTGGTAGATAGACCTGTCTGTTTTTTCTACTAATGTAACTTCGTCACGAAGAAATTATATAGCCCAAAATAAACGAAAACAAAATTAAATAGCAAACGTAATTGAACAAAATAAAATGTTATTTAATATGCAATTTTCATAACAATACTAATTTTAAAATGACTTTTTTACAATTAACCTAATGTCGATGTGAAACTATTTAGTGCATCCTTCAAGAATCTTTTACCCATCCTTTAATTTCTGTTCAATAAATAATTATTTAATATGTTCATGTCTTCTATTCCTGACCTATCATGAACATCAGCTTCTGTTTTTCCATTATAAATACTGTGATTCCGCTTTAGAAATTTATAACACCAAACTGTACCAATTTTCTCTTAAAGTCCCTTCTGCAACATTTTTATCGTCCTTACAACACCTATAATGATCACTTGATTGGTCGCGTTTCGTCCCAACTACATCATAATAAAATGGAATGGAATTTTGTCGTTCAACGTCGATTTCACTTCGAAGAATTTTACGATTTATTTAAGTATTAGTGGTCGAATAGACTCATAAAAACGGAGTTGGCGTACTTCGAAGTTCGCTTTAGATGGTTTAAAGCAAAAAAAAAAGAACTTCCCCGGAGATTAGGCTCTATCCAGTAATTTCTTGAGGATTGGATGGGCGATTTATGTGTGTGGTAGGCAATAAGTTTCCATTAGGAACTTTTTATGTTGCATGTAAAATGTAATATAGTAGTTTCTACATTGTTGACTTCATATTTGTTGTAGGTATCAGTTTTAGGGGAAATTTTGTCTCACGAAGCATATTATTCATCTTTAAATATCTATTTTTCTTAATTGTTACTACAGAATTTTCAAGTTTAGCCACATGTCTGCTGTTTGCTTGCTGAATTTAATCTTCGACGACCTCAGGCGTTATTCAAACGATCAAAAATTAAAAGCATTTCTAGAGGAGACATTCCTTAAGTTCAATAAACAAGAGGTATTCAAGATATTCTTCATAAATTATTACCGGAACTTTTACCAAAGAGCTATTCTTTCGTCTTCCCAATTTATTACATAACTTGTATTCGCGGTGTCGTATAAGCTTCACTTCCTTTCGATGTACAGGTACTTTATGGGAGGTATTTGTCATTTCCTTTATCATCGTTCGGCCAAAACTCCAGTCACAACGAGCCCGGATTATATTCACAGTGAGGCGTACGCTGCTGATTTATTATGGATTTGGAATATATTACACCTAGACCGATCTGTGGGTTTGGTCTTTGTCGTATTAGGGAGATTCTGGATTCTCATACATATTGAATATTTTACTAGTAAAAAGTTTTACAAAAGTTGAATCACGATGGTATGAGTACCTATATTAAGCTCTATTCGATAAATGTGTTGCAATTAAAAAACATTACAAGCCTCTTATAAATTCGATAAGTAAACATACAGAAGTATAGCTGAAATCTACACAATAAGTTACTCCTATTAAAACTGCTACTAAGGCGCCGGTACTGGCATACGAGGAGTGAGTATTTTGCAGATACAATAAGGCAAAAGCTAATACGGAACTTCCAATTATTATCCAAATAGGAAACAACCACTTGAAATACTGACTAAAATCTTTCACTGACATAACCATAAACAGTAAGATGCTGCACAGGAATCCTATTTCTAACGATATGTACAACCCTTCACGCCATTCTTCGTAAAAGTTATTTAAATCATCGTCCAGAGAAAATATGAGGCACGATACAAGGCATAATATTATTTCGACGATTTTCACAATCGCATCCGGAGTTTTTATATAATGAGGATTCGCCATTTTCCGCTTCTCGCTTGCCATTTCAAACACATTTCGTAAATTTCATTAACATAACCACGAAAAACTGACTGAAGGATAAATGACATGAAATATGCAGACGGAGAAAAGTCAGCAAAGATGATTACATCACACATGGATGATAACACCTATGTACATCGGACTAATACTCATTGGAATAGCATTCTGGATTCATCAATGCTTCAGTAGTTAAAATTTTCCAATAAACTTCTCCCATTCGAGTTTTCGCCCGTTGTAATTACGTCGGGCGAGTGGAGTTGAAAAGTCCGGCGGGAGTAGCGACGGGACACCGCCCCAAACGACTTTTTATTTTTATTTCGCAGGTTGTTTTGCGGCCGAGAAGTATAAACTAGGTCGTGTCGGCCGCCCGAAGTTCGTTTTAAACATTTATTTGGCTAATCGTATAATACGGCTTTCGTTGCCGGAATTATCTGACTAATAAATTCCTGTTTTTGCGAGAATATTTTGCGGCGTTCCGGGCAGGATTAGCCGGTGAAATTGAGAGGAGAAATGCACAGTGGATTGCGAGTTAATGTTGTAGTCAAAATTTACGGGTTTTTTTATTTCTAAATAGGTGACCGTAAAGGCCGGAAATTCGCTACCTTCAAATTTGGAAACTGCTCTGTTTCACTAATTTTATACGTTCTTTATTTCATTCACGTACGCCGGACTGGCAGCAGTAGTAATTACTCATCATACTAGAGTTCTCTTCTTAAACTTCTCTACCTGATAGACTGTACTTTGGGCAAAAAGTATTACGTTCGACTTTCAAAGACTTAGCGAAAAAGTGGGTTGTTTTTTGTCTTTTTTTCCCTCTCTGATTGTTTGGTGTATTTCGTTTCACTACGGTGCTGTGCTGTGCTGTGCTATGCCGAGAAATGAGTTGAATGCCGTAGGAAAGTTTCAGATGGAGTTTTTCCTTCGTTGCCCATTCCGCGCCTTTTATTTACTGCAATAAGAATTCCTTTGCTTACTGTTGACGATTTCAGTCCTACAGCTATTAATTACGAATCGTGGTTCTTTGTTGGATTTTATATTAGCTATATGATTTATTTTATAGATTCATAAACTTTTATGTTTCTGTGAACTTGCACTGCTTTCCTGCAGAAAATTAACAACAAAGCGCGCGTAAATTACTTTGCCTCTGAGGTTATTTTTTACTTGAATTTCTTCATTCAATTGTTGCAGATTTCGATTTGAATTCGTGGATTCGACACTATGAGCCAGCGCATTACGATCCAAGTTCGGTAGTGTCGCAGCACAAACGCGTTCGAAGGAGTACAAGCACTAATCGGTTCCATCCACTTCGAATCGACATTAAAGGACACAACAGGTAAGTAGAAAATTGGTTCCTCGAGCTTTTTCAATTTTTCATCGTTACTATTTCAACCGATCATTTTATCTTACTCCGTCCGAATAACCCCGTTCAGCGAAAAACAAAGAAAACCCAAAGTGACGTATCCGTTCCGGAATTGGTGAAATTATAATTTATTATAGCCCGTTTTGTGTAAGCTTTCTCGTTCGAGTAAACGTTTATTTCTAGTTCTTTGGCTAATTACGGGGGCGTTACGTTATGTTAAAAGATTGATTACGTTGTGGTTTCGGAAATTATTCGCGCTGGAAAGTGGTAATTGAATGGATCTACTTTGTATACAAAGTTTGACTTATAAAATAAAAATAAATGCTTCATTTGATATAGGTGTTAAAGTTAGATAAATTATGATTATATATATGTAGTTAAAGGAAATTTATGAAAGGTGTATTAGGAGTACAAAGGAGTACAAAGGTTTATCAAATTTTTCTATCTCTCTATAAATATAGGTATAATACTACCTTAAAGCATATAGCTGAATCTAGTGTTTCTATATATGTATAATTCTGGCATCTTCTGCTCGTCAAGCGAACATTTTTCTTTGAGAGAAGCGTTTATTGGCGTTACGCTCAAAAGTAATTTGAATATCAACGCTTTGAATTTTTATTGGAAAAGTTTCAAAATACGGCACTTTTAATCGTAATAAGATTTTCTCGATTCGAATTCGCTCCACTGAACGCATATGATCGAAAAAGTATCTTGAGAAAAGATGTATGATTTCACTTAAAGATTAATATTTACTATCTACCAAATAAACGACACATTTTCATCTGCGTAAAATTTTCCCTTATCCATCGCCAATTGAGCAATAATTCATTTCGGTGTCGATATTGGTACTTACAAACAACGGGTCAAGATGTTAAATGCACCCCGCTTGTTCCTCATATCAGCTATTGATCCTGGTCCGTCCAAGCCGAAGCTATTTAGGGTCGGTCAATTTATTAGATTTTATTTCCTGGATAAGGGAAGTGAACGCTTTTTCGGCGGAGAAATCCAGATGAATCTGCGTTTTATGAAGAACGCGGATTTCCAGACGAACAAAGCGAGATTATTGGGCCGTTTTGTTTCGCAGAACGGAAGTGGAATGTCAACTGCTTTTTCGCTGAGTTCGCTTCTCCGTGGACAGCCAAGCGGACGTTTACGGCGCATATTTATTTTCCATAACATCGGCTCTGCTTTAACACATTTTACACTTGCATGCTCCAGCAACTCCTCCTCAGCATTTTATTGCTTAACTGAAAGAGTATCTGGAAATAATAAGATGATATTTTTGTACTATATTCAAAACAAAGAAAATAAGCAGCCCAAATATAAGCGAACACTCTATTCTACTAAATACAATACATCGCTATATTATTTAGCTGTATTATGGGTATACAATTTGATAATCCGTCGATTTCCCGAAACGAAAAAGCATAGGAGGGTTAATAACGTACAAGCCGGAGAGTGTGTCGCAACCGAGAGCACGTTAGGCTTGAATGATTGATAGTGATTAATACGTATTGTTTAGATTAGCATACATGTTAGTTGCGCCATTAGGATTAATAACTGTACCAGGCGAAATTGATTTCAGGGACTATTTATCATTCGTGACGATTCTGTCGTTGATTCTCATCGCATAATTAAATAGAAATCTGTAAAGCTTTTGATAATCCTCATTATAGTAACAGAAAGATTTGAATATTATATTAAATCTACAATAAAACTACAATAAAGTATTCATTATATAATAGGTATAACAATTTAAAAATTTACATAATGCTATACAAAATTTAAATACTTGTACGAAGAAAAATTCTAAGTAAAAAAATCTGTATGTTAGGAATATGCCTGTTGTTCTATCCACATTGTGCAAGGATAATCTATCACAAACAAAGGACGAACTTAGCTATATATTTTTCAGTAACGAACCCTTCCTGGACGGAATGTTACAATTGGATGGAAAGTCCTTTAACGCTTTGCTTTTTTCGGGCAAAGCTGGCTCCGAATGAGCTGTAACGTTTTTTATGATCTTCGTATATCATTTATATAAACTTCCATTGTTTCCGTGATACGCTTATACGGCTTGTAAACGGAAGGTCCGGTGTAATAAAGAGATCGTATTTTTTGAATGCAGATAGGGAAATTATATGCGTGTGATATTTCGTTTTTTTTTTTCATTCAAGTTGCCGGAGGTATTATAATGCCTCCATTATAAGGTAGTTTTTTAATCGTATGCACTTTGGCATCTCGTTATTGGTTGAAATATAGGGGAGTTTTAATTGTTAATTTTCTAACAAACTCTGTATTAATTTTAGTAAAACTACAAATACATTCACTTATACTTTGTTTGCATTTGGTTGTGTGTAATGCAATAATTAGATTATCGATTGTAGTAGTCGAACAAATTTCATTATTGAAAGTTTATTTGTATTTTCCGGTAAGTACACTTAAATTTCCAGTTCGGTTTTTGGTGCGGTAGCGTGATGGAGTGCAGCTATTGATGGGATACGTGTAGAGGAAAAGAAGTTTGAGCTATAAATAATGCTACATGGTATTCTAAATATTTATAGTTCCTGTTAGGCAAATTGGGTTTTGTGTCGCTGGATTTATTGCTGGAGACGTTTTTACGTTGATTGATGCTTTAAGTAAAACCTTTTTCCCTTCAAATTCCATTCAACTAAATTTGAAAAAAATGAAGTAAATATTTTGTCATAAATTGATGAGCCTGTATATACTCCTTGGAGTTCCGGCACTAACCTCCAGGATGAAATTTAATAATTTACAGTTCACGTCTTCTTTTAACGTTATTAAATGGAAACTTGCCGTTGCGTTTTCTTTCGAACGATATAAATCATTCATATCTCCTGAATCTTACATGATCTATCAATCAGCAATTTATCCGAACATAACTGAGCCTGAACGGAAGATATAAATGAAAATTTAAAATTTATCTATATTTTCGCGTCGGTTGGAGCACTTTGCAAATTAAGCGTTTAAATCAAAAATAAACAAATCAATATATCAAACATTAAATAGGTATAAAAGTAAGTAAACTGTGTCGTGGATTACCCTGTATGACAAAAAGATATTCTTAGACTAATTAAGCGAGTACCAAATTACGTTACGATAAATCCAGATTCAATTAACCCGAACGAATTTTGTTCCGCACAGATAGATCATTTTTATGAACTTCAAGTAATATCTCCATGAAGGAAAAACCGGCAAAAAGACAGATATGATTGATGAATTCTCAGCGTTTGAGTTTTCAAGGCGCATAATTATGTTTGTTCGCTTAAAAGGTCTCCTGGAAAACGAAAAATTGTAGGTAGGAAAATGGGGTTGACTAAACAATCTTCTTTGCTTTTATTCCTCTTTGTATCCAGCCGTTTCTGCACAAGGCGCTGGCGGAAAATTAGAATATCGTCCCAATGACGTTTAATTTTGGTAGGAGAAATATATATTTATTATGTTGGTATTAGTTTCACCTTGGTGTATGTATGTTCGCGAAAAATATCATGAGAGATAAGGGTGAAGTAATCGTGAAATAGAATTTTCCTAAACCATGTTGAATCACAATCAGAAACCAAATCCGCTTAAAATATGGTAGACTCCATCAGTTAGTTAAAAACGAGCGTCACAGTTACCTCTACGTTTCTTATTCTAATTTCCGAAAATGCTTTAATAAAATTCAGGACCGTCGTTCGTTAAAGCTTCAATTAATTTTAACGAGCTGTAATATCGGATTACGAACGATTTTCGCTCGAAATTCGAACACTGTTTGACGAAAGCCTCCATAAATGTATAGCATTTGATCGTTCATACGCATGCAGTAGCGTACTGATGATTGAAATTATTACGCTAATTATCTTACCGGTACGTTTATTAATTAAATCCTCCCGATGGATATAGATCGAAATTAAATGTGATTAATACTCGTTTTTGTGTTTCTTCGCAGTCACACCAAAATGGACAAAAACGCCGTTCAGACTCCGGAATGAATAATAATACGGAAGGAAGTTTTTGTAGACGTTATTTATGAGTTTGAGTTTTAATTAAATTTTGAACAACGGGTTCGTGTAATTATTCATTACAAATAGTATTAAGCAAAAATGTCTACTATTAATTTAATTGCATTAAAACTGTTGATGTTTTGCCGAATTAAAGTTGACTAGAAAATCGATAGGAATAATTCAAATTTAAATTATGCTGCGTCCTAATTTCCACTCAAAGCGAGATTATTATTGTATTTCAACGCTTTTGAGATTGCAATATGTATGCACGGAATTGCGAATATAATGATTAACTCTCGAGTCTAAATAGTTGTACGTGTGTAACTTTCCACCACATCGAGACAGCGGTATTGAGTTTCAAATAGAAATCATAGAACTACTTCACATATAACTAGAATTGGAGTTAAAGCTCTGATAACTACATCAATTGTATCTGCACATACATATACGCGAATTAATAGTTTCTTTAAAAATATTATTCTCTATACGGAATATTGAATTCGTTCTATCGAACTCAACTTCTGACAACTTGCTGTATATGTATAACGAAATTATATATTTGCAATTTGGAAGGGTCGGAGAGAATATTGATCATTCCTAATTCACTTAACTATTTTACCCTCCTGAAATCTGGTTCCAGCTGTATTGTGAAAATTCAGGAATTACGTTTTCCTTTTCCCATATACAATTTCTGGCTTGTTATCGTAACGCCGTGATTGCCTCGAGTCAAATCCAAATTGTAGGCAGGGCAAGGGCACTATCACTTTATTTATTTAACAGGTCGTATAAAAAAATCCTTCCGTCAGCCAATATGTTCAAATCGTGTAATACAAAAAACGTCCGAAAGTACAATCGCATTGTGCAAGTTTATTTTCGTTGTTTCCCCGCATCTACTAAAATCAATAAAAGGACGTTGTTTGTTCAGAAAATTTCCAATTAGCGAACTGACCTTAAATTTAATTTCATTTTCAGGTTATTCAAACTGAAGCTCTACCCTGACGAGAGCGTGTTTGCTGACGATATAACGTTCGAATCAACGAATGGCATTATCGACTTCGATCCGTTGGTTATTTACACGGGAACTTTGGAAGGTAAGAGATAGGAAATAATATCAAAGGGTCAATGATTTAGTTACGAACGGTCCGTTTCGCTCATTTTTCTAGTATTTGATACAGAAAAAATGGTTATAATACGCTTAAAATTTTACTTTTGCATCCACTCCCCTACCCTAATCTGTACTCGACCAAGTCTCCCCTGTAGAAAAGCATTATAATTAACGCTGCTCTTTCCCATTCTTGTATAGAATTATTTTAAAAAGCTGCTTTATTTAAGAGTCTTGCGTCGAGATAATTACCTGGCTACCTTTGGCAAAATAAATAACCTTGATGTATGGTTAGGGGGAAAGTGTTGGGTGGATCGTTTTATCTGTAGAAGCTAACGAAACACCAATTTGGGGAAAGCAAGAAGGCGTCTACTCCAATCACCCCGTTAGCTGATTTACGGGGCTAATAGCGCCCCCATTAGACCCCAACTACTAACTCGAGAGGGCCGGATGTCTATAGTAAATCCTTAGCGAATTACCTATTGTCTTTGCGATTTAAAGACGATGAATATAATAGCGGCTAGGTAAAATGAACTAGTACACGAGCTGAATAAATGACTTTTGTTTGCGATTAAAAAAATGTAGCTTTGGTGTGGTTCCATAGCATTTTCAGGAAAAGTCATTTGGTTTTCTTATTTTTTTTATTCCACCATTGTTGGCGTTTCATTTCCTGAAAAATGTTTGCCGTGTGGGTTTGCAGTTGACATGAATATTTCGGTAGATTGCGTCATATTTCTTGGAAAATTTTTACCCTTTTACGTGTATTAGAGCATTTTTATGCCTCTGTAATTTGAAATATTTCTCATTTTCACTTTGCATTCATGCAGAAAATAACAATAAAAAATAAGATACATTTTTTGCAAGAAACTAATTACAAATCTAAATCGAAATGATCGCCGACACTACGTTTAAGCTGGTAAGATTTGGGCATTATTTTTCCCTCAGGTTCGATTCCGGAATATTTACAATGACAGTAGGTAATCGAAAAAGTTGTTTTCAAGTAGCATAAATAATATTTCCGGAGACGTCTCCGGAGATATCCCGAATTGTCTCTATCGCGAAATAATCCGATTTGGAATTGCGGTAATTTTTATGGAACTACCTAAGAACCGATTAATTTAATTTGGGGCGTGGGAGCTTAACTTAAATCGAAATTTAATTATTTTATAAACGGAATTTTAATTGCTCCCAGAAGTATTTGGAAAACTTTTTTACGACTGTGCCTGTTATATTAAAAAAACTCGGTTGTTCTCTTACGATAGAAAATATTACCCTCTTTATGACCGGCATAATAGGGATTATTAAAGACTCCCTTAAAAATTGCGAATCCAAAATATATTAATTAAAACCACAATACTCTCGGTTTATTATTACTACGCTTTTAATTAGTTAATCTTTATGATTCTAAATGTATAATATACCTACTATTACCAATCATAAATGATGGATTTTATTAATACCTTACTATTAACTATTTATACCTGTACACATGAAAATATGGTTAGATAGCTATATTTAATTGGATTAGGCAGGTGTATCTACACGTTTTGAAACTTCATATAAATGAACCTAAATTTGTATGATGGATGATACGAATGCGTATGCATTAAAAATAGGATGTATCATTATTCATAATACGCCGAATAATTAAAACTCCACCGGATTATATTTTCACTATCAAAATATCATTTCGCTACGCTTGCAATTCGAAGCTAATTTTCGTTCTTCCCGTACACGGTAATTGGCTTTCCGGATTTATATTCGAGTCGATGCTGATGACTTTCCGCGAAGCAACCGTGTTTTCGACGAAAAAGAAAACTCGAACAGTACATTAAAGAGACGTGTAGTATGATGAAAACAAATGGCCCAACATCAACTCGGAGATCGTTATTTCTCGAACGGTTCAAGCTGTTGCTTTTCATAAAAAGACCGTACTCAAGGATGTGGCTTTTTATGCACCACGCTCGGTTTTCTGATCGTTATCTTGTACTAATCTCTACCACGAATAATTTCTTATTTAATATTGGTATTGAGCGTTTACCTTAAAATATTCGTGAAGCTTATTATGCATTTTAGTCTCTCACGTTCCTACCTACGCATTTCCCGGAGATATTCAATTTCTCAAAACGGGTCACAAAAGCGACACTTCTGCGATAAGAAGTCTTTTTCGCTCGCCTTATCCTTTCTCGCCGTATTTAAATCCATCAATGTCTTGTAGTCGATTCGAGTCGCTGAAATTTGAATAAAATCGATGAGTGCGAGGGGAATCCATGAAAATGCAATTCAAAGCCCCCGAGGAACCCCGACTTATGGCAATTACCAAACTTCCACTGCCAGCCAGCACTCGCGGTATCGCGTAAAAGTAAACGCATAAATCTCTCCACTTTTAGGGAGCCGAATCCGAAAATTCGATTGCGTTCTCAAAGATACAATTAATTTACATGTATTTGTTACTCTGACAATACAAAAGAAGATACCTACAAAAGAAAAACTTTAGAGGCGATATAAAATTAAACTACATACATTTACACGTGTTTAATGGGCTGTATAAAGTAAGACTCGATTTTGTGACTTATTCGGACGTTCAAGTAAAGAAGTTTTAACCAGAACGATCTAAAATAGTAAAGTTTTCAATATGTCAGTAAACAAGACCGCTCGACTAAAGGCCAATTTCGAAGTTTAGAAAGCACTTAAAGCTGAACTACGTGAGTTGCTGTGATTTAGAAGAGCAAATTTAGCGGAAAAGTGATCTGGACGCACAAATACAGAAGTCTCAAAATCGAAATATCTTGAATAAACTTTACTAATCAAATTATCTTGTTCAATGTAAAATGTTCAAATAAATAAATAAATAAATACAATTCGAGTTCAGTTTCCATATGTCTCTGGAAATTCGTTAATAAAAAAAACAAAAAGTAATCTAATTAGTCAATAGTCCAGGAAAATTCTAAGTAATTATCCTATCTAACGGACAAAACGCTCAATCGAATTTGGCTTTAATTAAATCTTTCGCAGAGAGTTTTAATCGAACGAAAACTTAGTCGAACTTCGTTGAGCAAACTGGGTGAAGTTATTTCAGAAAACACTCTCGAAAAAATAAAATTTCAGTAGCTGTCCTTCGATTTGAAACAAAAGGACCGATTTCTAATGGAGTTCTAACTTTTCAATTATCGATTACATTCGGATTAACTTTACGGGGTTTTCAAATACTAAGATTTTAGTTAACGAACTTAGCTTATCAAATAAATTATCCAGAAATTGATTTGGTAAATAATTCAGTAATTAATCTACTTCCATATACCTGAGTCCCTACCTTATTCAATAAATAAGAAATATGAATTATTCATAGTAAAGGATCTAATAATAAATCCGGTAAATGCAGACTATTAGGTACTGTTAATTACTCTACCACAAAATACAATAAATTTCGAACACCTAGGTACTCGTAGTAATGTAAACATGTCAAAATATATCGTAAATTCGGGTCGATATACTCGTTAGATCACTATAAATATTTAACTTGTAACCGAAGCCATGCGGGCGTGTCTATTGTAGTACATGTAACATCAGCCACGGTCATAATCTTGTCGAGTATGTAGGAAGAATTTGAATAAGTATAACGTACATCTACAGGGTGAAAATATAATTTTAGGTACGACCTTATGTTGCTTAAAATAACTTTTTAAGGCAATAGTTGAAACATTACCTACCTAATGGAACAATGCATAATATATGTACATACATATACAGTCAATTATGCCGTTAGATAGCCCAATTGAAGTCGTTTAAACATAAACTTCAATCATACCGAATTCAATTTCATCGGTGTACTAAATGATTTAATGCTTACATTTTTAATGAGATTTATGTTGAAAATAGATAGATATGCTTTGGTATAATTTCGTGCATTATTCATTCAGTAATAAACTATTCTATTAATAATAACAGCAAATCATATAGCTTCATTTAAGTATTTTATAATTTATTTAAATATATCTATGTGTACATATAATAATCTTCTTTATTTAAAGTACCTTCATTTGTATTATCATAACTATGTATAGTATATGATTGTTTACATTATGGTGCATATTACTAACTTAACTTAAATCATCCTGTACAATAAGTAATGCTAATCGGCATACTTCGGCATGAACAAACAAATAGAGCAAACTTTTTTTCTATAGGTATACTGTTTGTTAAAACAAGCATTAGGTTTTATTTAACATTACCATTTCAGACGAATAGAGTATTCGATTTCGACGAGAAAATTACAGTGCGAATCGTACTCGTACAACTCGACACTACCTTTTAACAAGAGTCGTTCCCGAACTAAATTTACCGAAACAGGAAACACATTGCTTTCACGGGACTTATGCTAACCGAAAGGAAACTTCGTTAAATGACGACGGTGCCATTAGTAGAGAACTTGGGAGCGAGGCTGGAGAGCCGGGATGAATTCCTGCTCTCGGGTTGTATAATCAATTAATTTACGGGTTGTAAAATTTGGTATTGATCATATCGAAAGTTTTATTGTGCTGGGGCTGAAAGCTCCCTGATTCAAATTTTAATTAATGCGGTTAAATGTCGAGGTTCGTCTACCGCGTTCCTAAGCGTACATTTATTTTGGTATTTAGACTAGTTGGAAAATATTACCTACATTGTTAATAATATCAGGTAGTTGGTTTCATTTGGTTCACCACAACGTAAACTAATCTGTTTGCGTATAGATACGGCCATAAATGTTTCAACGAGGAAAATTTAGGACGGTAGGATAGGAACTGTAAAAGTAAATTACTGTGCAAAAAAGTCGCAAATCTTTCGCCATAAATACAATTAGTACGCTACGTTACTTAATGTATCGTTTATAAACCACTGTATAATGCACCTTTAGTCGTAAAGTTAACCGAGCGGAGAATATAAGCCAGCTTTATACTCCATATCGTATTATGGTGAATCTAGTGATGAATCGCCTAATCTATTTTATTG